GCATTCTCACGTAAAATGGGAATCATACTACTTAACAGGAGAGGAAGACAGTCAAATACTGCAAGCAAATAAATAGATGGTGAGCGCACAGCTGTCCAGTGGAGATATGTACTGTGAAGAACAACGTGGCAGGGCAAGGAATGGACAGGGACAGAGAGGGGCGGGGGGCAGTAGGTTCTGTGTCTTGCAGGCCACATGTGCCAGCCATAATGGGTGCATTCACTGTCCCAATATTATTATTTTAAAAAGCACTTTTGGACACGATGAATCAGGATGGTGACAATTCTCTTGCAGATGTGTCTTGCAGGCCACATGTGCCAGCCACAATGGGTGCATGAAATGTCCAAATATTATTATTTTAAAAAGCACTTTTGGACACAATGAATCAGGATGGTGACAATTCTCTTGCAGATGGGAGGTGAGAGCTGGAAAGAGGTGGGAGGCAGAGGCTCCGCGAGCCAGGACACCTGGCAGCCCTTCTGCGGTCACCATTCCAAGCTGTCAGCTAAGGAGTTTATAACTAAGTCACAGGCCTGACATACTAATTAACTGGGTCCCTTTGGGACGGAGCTGTGGGGTTCATCAGTTCAGCAGACATGACCTCGGTAGCTCATCACCTTCCCTGGCAGGGCGGAGGGTCAGCAGCTGGAGGGCCTCAGACCTTTAAATACAGGGGGAAGCAGAGGCATGGGGGGTGGAGGCGTGGAGGGACAGTGGTTTCTACCCAGGAGGACCAGCAGGGCAGGGAAGTTCTTGTCCAAGCCTTGCTTCTACTTCTGGGTAATTTGGAGCCCTCGGCGCAGTGATCTTTGCTCTGGACACAAGGTGTGGGCCCATGGTTCCTCTGAAAAGACAATTTTATGTGTGTTGAAGGGGCAGCTGGGACAAGGCAATGCTCGCTCTGAGGGGTGTGCTCACACACAATAACTAAAAGAACAAGGGCCGTGTTCTTTTTCTTGGCGATCCCTGCCCTCCTGTGGAGCCCATGGCATCAGCTCTGTCTCTTGTCTCACTCCAGCGCACCGGCTAGGGAAGGAGTGGTTATGGGACCTCCCCGTGAGGCTGTTTCCTTCTTGGCTGCCCACTTCAGCCCCATCTTCAAGGGCAAGAGCCATTGTCCTGAGCCCAGGGCTGCATGCCTCTCTGGCCTTGGGACTTCCTACCTAGAGGCCTATTTGGTTGGCGCCCCCAGGATTCTCTCCTGGGGTGGGGGAAGGCCAAACCTAGGAAAGAGCCTCGAGTCCCAGACATCAGTGTTGGAAGGCCCTAGGGATCCCCTAAATCAGTGGTTCTCAACCTTCTGGCCCTTTAAATACAGTTCCTCATGTTGTGACCCAACCATAAAGTTATTTTCGTTGCTACTTCATAACTGTAATGTTGCTACTGTTATGAATCGTAATGTAAATATCTGATATGCAGGATGGTCTTAGGCGACCCCTGTGAAAGGGTCGTTCGACCGCCAAATGGGTCGAGACCCACAGGTTGAGAACTGCTGCCCTAAATGTTATCAGAATGTGGGCTCCCTGATGGCAGGGTCTTTGTGTTGGTCCTTATTATAACTCCCAATGCCAGAGCAGGGTCTAACACACAGTACATGCTAACACATGAGTATGTGTTGAATGATTCAATGACTCTTCCAACCTCCACTCAATTTACAGAGGAGAACACTGAGCTCAGAAAGTGAGATCCCAGAGCTAGGGCTGGAACCACAGATTCCGTGGCCCCTCTCCTTGATCCTCAGAAATGCAATTCCCCCCAGGCTGCCAGCATTAAGTGAGATGTGACATAAAACTCTGTAGCCTGCATTTAGCACATAGTAGATGCTACATTAATGTCCCTCCCCCACCCCTCCCCGGCATCATTTTTAAGTTTCTCTTGGAGGCAAGGTCATATACCAATGATTTTCTACCACCTCACACTTCTTTCCCACCCTAACTTTAATTTATTATTCCTTTAGCTATGTCTTAGGATGGACACAAAGGAATTAAGTTTAAAGATGACCAACATCCTTGTTTGAAGAGGTTAATCCTTTCAAGTGTAGCCATGGGGAGGATTTCCATGGAGGGAGTGCTCTGGGCTCTCAGGATCCAAGGGGAGACTTCTGTGTGGACCCCACCCCTGAGTCTGCTGTCTCCCTGTCCCCACAGTGGCAGATGAAATGCTGCAAGTGCGACTCCAGGCTGCCTCACAATTACAACAGTCACCGAGTGGAGAATGTGGCTTCGTCTTCAGGCCCCGTGCGCTGGTGGCAGTCACAGAAAGGTAAAGGCCACCGCCTCTAGGAAACCGAGCTTGAGAAGGGTCCCACAGGTGGGGTGGCCAAAGGGTGCCTGGGAACTCTGGGTTTCGCGGGCATTTGTTAGGGCTCTGGGACATGGTGGTTGACAAGCAGACTACTTCCTCCAGGCATGAGGTCTTGCAGATGTTACAGGTATTTTCCCCCATTTACCCGCAATGGGCTTGTTGGAGGAACTGAGGTTTGGGAACGGGTCTGTGTTGAATAGACAAGTTGAAACCCCTTTAACGTCTCAGGAGCAACCAGTCATAGTGGGCAGGGAGTTTGGCCAAAAGCATACAGGATGCTGAAGAGATAATATAAGTAGAAACGTGCTGGTGCCATTCCTCGCCGAGAGGGAAATCGGAGAATCAGGGTCAGCGAGTTTCTCACTGCCTAGAGCTGGGGCGGTCCAGAGCCTTCTTCAGCTGCGAAGGTGGAGATTCCCTGGCCTGAAGTTCCTCCTTTTGTCCTTGCAGACGTGAACCCTGTCTCTCTGCAGCTGGACCTGGACAGGAGATTCCAGCTCCAAGACATCATGATGGATTTTAAGGTGCGCTTCCCGGGGTGGCACGGGGTAGGAGAGGGGACCCTGGGTGATGCGAGCTGACTCACGGCGAGCTGGGCTGATGGCACCATGTGCTGGGTAGGCCTCCCTCCCCTAGGCTGGACGACACTTGCCCTGAGCCTATGTCCTGGTGACAGCAGAGGCCCCATTCCAGGGAGAACTCCAGGCTCCCCGTCTCTGCCATGCAGGGGTTATCAATCCACTTCCTCAATGCCCCCCCACCCTCCCTTAGCACATCTAACTGATTCCAAGAATCAAGTCAAAGATTTGAAATATGAAGAAGCAGAAAAACCCAAACAGAAAAACAAAAACCCCCACCCTCCCTTAGCACATCTAACTGATTCAGCGCTGCCGAGTACCAAGTCCACTGGGCCCGTCACTGATACAGTTGTGCCCTCTTGATTACTCTGCTCTCACAAGTTTGCTGATGAGGTTGAGTTAACAAACAGCCAGGAGCTGGCTCATCCATCCACAGGAAGGTGCGCTCTCGGAGCTGCCCTTCTGGTGAGCTGACTGCTCACCAGCACGGTGGCCTCTCAGAGCCCTCTTGGCTTCTGCTGTCGGACTAGCCTTCTGAGATACTCCTTTCGGAGGGAACATTTGTGTTCCTTTGTGATGGGTCATTTTTTGTTTGTTTCAGAGAAGGTTTGCTTTTATATTTCTACAGAAATGGTGAAATATTTAAGGATCAAGATTGGTTATTAAGATTAGATGGCCAGGAAGGGGGATACCAATTTCTGGAGTTAAAATGAGCTGAGAATAAAAAGCAATGGAACCGAATTTCTTGTGTGACTGAGGAAATGAAGAGCCTCACCCCAAGAAAAGGCCAAAAGTGTCTTGAGAAATGCCAGTGTCGTTGAGTAAATGCCCAGTCTCCAAGGGTACCTTCCTTGGGGTGGATATGGTTGTTTCGTTGTTTTATTATCACTCACCCGTTCATATATATGTCCGTTCTTGCTACAGACACATAGGACACTGATTATGTTGGGTTTGGTGCCAGCTGTCAGGGATAAAAGATGAATAAAGCTAAGTCATGATCCTCACGTTGGCTTAGTACATGCAGGGAAAGCAGCGAACCAGTGGCGAGAGAGTGTGCTGTGATATTGCTAAGTAGTGGCTCTGGGAAGCATGGGAGGGGACATCTAGCTTGCTGTGTCTTGTAGGGGAGGTGTTAGAATGCAACCATGGGAAGATAAACCTTCCTAGACCACTAATAGCCAGGGGAGGGGCAAAGTTCCTTCTAGGCAAAAGGAATAGTAAAGAGCAAAGACCAGGAGACAAGAAGCTAGAAGGTATATCATTGGGGAGGGGGCAAGGGAGTGGACATGGGGTCCGGAGGGGAAAGTGTGTGTTGGCGGTGAGAGATGGGGACATGGAAGGCAGAAAACTGGTGAGAGATGAGTTTGCAGATATAAATGGAGAGGCGGAAAGCAGACTAAAGACTCACCCATTCATTCAACAAATGTGTTCTAAGCACCTACTATGCGCTGGATGTTGGAAGTACAACTGTGGATAAGACAGACAAAGGGGTGTGTGGTGTACGGGAGTGGTACTCAATCAATCGGGATATTTGGCAATTTCTGGAGGCATTTCAGGTTGTCATACTGTGGGTATTGACACGTAGTGAGTAGAGGCCCGGGTAGAGGTCCGTAGAGGCCAGGGACGCTGCTAAGCATCCTGTAGTGACCAGGACAGCAGCCACCAGCACATCTCTAGGAGCCTGTTTCTGTGACTGTGTCCCCAAGGTCCTCCCCTTCCTCCAGGCACTCAGGCCTCACCCTGTCTGTGTCTCCACAGGGGCCCATGCCCGCCGGGATGCTGATCGAGCGCTCCTCGGACTTCGGGAAGACCTGGCATGTGTACCAGTACCTGGCTGCCGACTGCAGGTCTGCCTTCCCCCGCGTCCGCCAGGGCCAGCCTCAGAGCTGGCAGGACCCTCGGTGCCAGTCTCTGCCCCAGAGGCCTCATGCGCACCTAGACGGGGGCAGGGTAAGTAGACGGGACCCTGGACATATAGCCTGAACGGGTCTCTGACATGGCATCGCTCACACCTTCACCCAGACTCTTGAGAAGAGATGAGAGCCCCCTCGGGCAGTGCGCCTCAATGTCTTTCCTGAGCTCTCCATCCTCAAAATATTCGTTGCTTGTCTTCTTCGTGCCCAGGAAGGGTATTTCAGAAACATGTTGAGCGTACTGTGACCCAGCCCTGCCCTCTGCCATGGCCCCCTACCCCATGGCTCACCGGCCTGTCCCCACAGTGGAGAGGACACAATTGATTGCTCCACTGTGAAGATTTTGAGATGGCTGCTGAGTCAAGTGAGCAAAGACACACATTTCATCTGATCTCTGCTTTCACCTCAGTAGGGTATAACACAAGAATTAACTTTCCCATTGAATCCATTCATGGAGCCCCATCATTGCCTTGGAGGGAATCCTGGTCTAAGCCACAGTCCCCCAAGCCTAAACCCTGGGCTGGAAATTAGAACCTGCCCCTGGAAACAATCCAGTGCCTCTCCTCCGAATCCTCCCACCCCGGTCAAATCCCCTCATTCCTTCCATCACTGCTTCCCCCGCCGCCAGCGGGAGGCTGTTTGTTCTTTTTCTGGCCCAGGCTCAGGTGAGCCCTCTGAGACGCTCTGACCTGCTGATGTGCACGGGGTGCTTGGGTGGCCCCGTCCCTTCGCTGTAACAGCTGCTCCCTGGTTATCATCACATCCAGATCCTCAATGACCACAGTCTCCAGACCCCAGATCAAAACACAGGGCTTTTTCCTGATTTGTGGAGGGTTGATGTGAAAACTCTCCTTGGGATATGAGATGAAGTCACATCCAATGAATGACTTCTATTAAAAAGACAAAGCGTAGTTAAAATTGGGGTGTAGAGAGTGATAGTCACCACATCCATGCACCCCTGGGCTCCAGATCCTCTCGTTCATCCTGAGTTTTGGAAAATTAGTATCCCCTAAACCCGTGCATGCGCAGTCCATCTCTTACTGTAATTTCTGGTCCCAGGAAATCAGGAGATTCTTGGAATCGCTACATTTTCAATGGAGAGGAAAGACTGTTCACACACACACACACACACACACACACACACGCTCATTTAGGGCCCAGCGATCATCTCGCTCTCCGAGGGCAGTTGGCAGGCCTCACGTTCATGGTGGTCTTGGGTCCCAGGTTAAAGGACCTCAGCGTAGCATGAGGAAGGTGGGACATTGAGTGGAAAGGAGACTTCTGAGCCCGGGGACACATTCTACCTCCTCCTCAGTGCCTCTCTCTTTCCTCTCTTAGGTCCAACTTAACGTTATGGATTTAGCCTCTGGGATTCCAGCAACTCAAAGTCAAAAAATTCAAGGTCAGTGTGGCTGCCCCTCAAGCCTGTGGGACTGTGGGCGGAGAACAAAACAGGGGTGGGACCCAGGTCACAGAGCATCCCTGCTCTTTCCTGTTTCTCATAACACGGCTGGATTGAATGCTTGCCCTGCTTACCCTGTGGGGTTACTGTGGTAGCCCAGAGCTGCAAAAGGCCTGGATGTGTGTGTGTTTGTCTTTTCTGCCTCGGAGGGTTGAGGATGGGGAGGATGACCCTTGGGATAACCTTATAAAGGTAGGGAAGGGGGTGGGTAAAACCAGAATTTCCTTCTTTTCTCACCTTGCCCATGGAGACACTCATGGCCTCTAACTTCCTTTCCTTATTGTCTTTTCCCATCCTCCCTCCCTGTGTTTGCCCCTCTCAGAGCTGGGAGGGATCACAAACCTGAGAGTCAACTTCACCAAGCTGGCCCCTGTGCCCCAGAGGGGCCACTATCCCCCCAGCGCCTACTACGCGGTGTCCCAGCTGCGCCTGCGAGGGAGCTGCTTCTGCCACGGTCACGCTGACCGCTGCGCTCCCGAGCCCGGAGCCACCACCGGCCCCTCCACCACCGTGCAGGTGACAGTCCGGGGTGGGAAGGACGAGGGGCAGGGGCAAGACCAGAACAATTAGGGACATCTATGAGCCTCCCGTAAAGCAGGGTGGGCACTCCATTTAAGTCGTGAATATTTCACATTTTAGCAATGGTGAGAAAAGTGTAAGTGATTATCATTTCAAAGACTAGGATTTCGTAGCCCTGCCTGAGATCTGCAGTTTGGTGTTTTCAGTTACACGTAAGCACGTGTGTGGGCGTGGGGGAGTTTAAGGCGGTGCTTCTCAGCCCTATCCACACACCATCAGTTCCTGGAAATATTGCCAGGCCCTTGTCTTCTAAAGCTTTGAGATGTCCTAATATCCTGTCAGGGCTGAGCAGTCCTGGCCTGGAAACTCTGAAGTCCCATCTAGTGGTGAGCGATGGGTAGGGTGAGAGAGAGAACATCTAACACGGATGCCACGTGTGCCCCAGACCAGCCGAGTCGAATGCATCAGGGATGCGGTTGGAGGCTCCAACGTATCCAACCATCCAGGGGCTATTGCTGTGAAACCAAACAGAGAACCACCAGTGGAGGAGAACCCTGAGCCAGGAAGGAGGGAGCTGTCATTTCGCTGTGCAGGGCTTCCATTCTACTCACATAGGCGGCCTGCTATTTGCCCTGTCCACAGGTGGGCACCAGGCAATCCTGTGACATGGCCCGAGAGGGAAATACAGGCAAAATGAACATCGGTCAGCGTTATTCTTTCTGCTTCTGGGCCAGCTCTTGCCCTGGCTGCAGGGGAGGCCGGAGGGAGGCCAGAAGGCCCATTGACTAAGGACCAGAGCATGGGATTGCCAACATGGGGAATACGGCGTGCTGTGGGCTGGAGCTCAGGGAGAGGGCTCGCCTAGCCCCAGTGGTTTGCAAATCTGGCTGTACAAGGAAATCGCCACTCTAAAAAGTACTGGTGCTTGGCCTTTGTCCCTGAGATTCTGATTGAATTGGGCCTGTTGTTGGTATTTTTTAAAAAACCTCCCCATATAATTCTGGAGCACATTCAGGGCTGAAATCCACAGAACTGGAGGGGCCAGGGAGGCCTGCGAAGGAGGTCCATTGGAGCTAGCAGGGTTTCGTGGGTGCACGGGGAGAGAAAGGTATTCCAGGCAGAAAGGAGAACATCAGTAAAAGCCAAACGGTGAGGGAATAAGGGCTTGTGGAGGGTGCCACTCCGGAGCTCAGCTCGGCTATGCTGTCAGGAGGGAGTGATGAGAATAAAATAAACATACAGGTCCTTGAATGCCAGGCTGGGGGTGTTGGGCTGAATTTGGAAGACAATTAGCACATAATAGCTATTCTATTTTTATACCTTAATGAGTCTAGTAACGATTCATCATGCGGTCCATTAGCCAAACAACCTCAGTCATAGATTGTTGCAACAGAAAGCTCGACAGGGCCCACAAACTTCTCGAATCACAGTTTACCAGTGAGGGTGTCTGGGTAACTTCCGGGTGCTGCTTTGGACTGGGCATCACGGGGGTGTCCAGGTGCAAGGAATGGGTTTGCAGAAGCCCAGCTAGGGGAGCAGACACACACACACATGCACACACAGGCACCCCGGAGGAGCTGAGGTCTGAGCATGCACGCTGAGTGGTGGACCTAGGAGAAGGTCAGAGGGGAAGGGCAGGTCCATCCTGGGCCATTCCTTTGAGAATCCTTCCTGATGACTGACGGCACCTCCCCTAGGTCCATGATGCCTGTGTCTGCCAGCACAACACTGCCGGCTCCAACTGTGAGCGCTGCGCGCCCTTCTACAACAACCGGCCCTGGAGACCTGCGGATGATCAGGACCCCCACGAATGCCAAAGTATGACTGAGTGGGGTGCTGGCCCCTCTGGGCCTCAGGGACCTTTCCTGGGACACAGAGAGGATGGATTCTTTATTATTTAACTTTAGTCTTAATTGCGCCCCTGCAATTGAAGGTCTCCTTGCTCTGCTCTGTGGGGATGGAGAAAGTATTTGGGTTGCAACCTCCATGTGCTTCCCCCTCCTTGGCTGAGGAGAGATCCTTGCTCTCTGGCCTCTTCACTTGCCCTCTCCTGTGTAGGATGTGACTGGGTTTCTGCTTCAGCTGATCCCCTAGATCAGTTGTTCTCAACCTGTGGGTCGCAACCCCTTTGGCAGTCGAACAACCCTTTCACAGGGGTTGCCTAAGACCATCCTGCGTATCAGATATTTACATGACGATTCATAACAGTAGCAACATGACAGTTATGAAGTAGCAACGAAAATAATTTTATGGTTGGGTCACAACATGAGGAACTGTATTTAAAGGGCCAGAAGGTTGAGAACCACTGCCCTAGACTCTAGGGCAGCCGTGGGCAAACTATGGCCCGCGGGCTGGATCCGGCCCGTTTGAAATGAATAAAACTAAAAAAAAAAGAGACCGTACCCTTTTATGTAATGATGTTTACTTTGAATTCATATTAGTTCACATAAACACTCCATCCATGCTTTTGTTCCGGCCCTCCGGTCCAGTTTAAGAACCCATTGTGGCCCTCGAGTCAAAAAGTTTGCCCACCCCTGCTCTAGGGCCTAGAGTCAGGGCCTTTCCCTGCATAACTGAGGGGACGGAATAGGGATCCCCAGTCCAGGAAGAGGCAGTGACTCAGCAGGAGACCCACGGTGGCAATGGGGGAGGGTTGGGATGGACTATTTGAGGAACTCTCTCTTTGGCCCAACACAGACATGATTCTTGCGTGAGTCCCCACGTTGGGAGTCAGGAGGCCTGAGTTGTCCCTCTAGTCTGCTTTGTGACTGACCGTATAACCTTAAATAAATTACACAAATTTCCCTGGGCCTCAGCGTCCTTGTTTCCCAGACCTGAGCATGTTGTCGAGTTGTGAGAGATGCCAGTGAGGCAGCAGGGGATGTGCTCTGCAGATGGCGAAGGCGCTGGCCCACCATCAGCCCTGGGAACTCCTTTTTCAGGGTGTGACTGCAACGGCCACTCAGAGACGTGTCACTTCGACCCAGCTGTGTTCACCTCCAGCCAGGGGGCGCAGGGAGGGGTGTGTGACAACTGCCGGGACCACACCGAGGGCAAGAACTGCGAGCGGTGCCAGCTCCATTACTTCCGGAACCGGCGCCCCGGTGCCCCCATTGAGGAGGCCTGCATCCGTGAGTAGGGGCTTCCCCGGGAACCGTCTGTCCACGATGCCCCATCTGTGCCGGATACAACAGAGCCCATGTCCCTGGGACACACAAACCCACAAGGAAGACTTGGTTGTGTATCAGGATTGTGGGGCATTGTTTTAACTTAGCTGTGCGCTTGCTTCTAAGCAAGTGACCTGGACCACTAGTCAACTGGTCAATCAATCATATGTAATCCTTATTTGGGGCCCAGGAGAGAAAAAAGTAAATATCCGATACGGTCCCTGCTGTCGAGAAGCCTATATACGGTTTGGTAATAGAAACCATACACACAGGAAAAGGAAGGGCACAGCCCTTTGTCTTTATACAGGTCACTGCCTTTACAGGCTATAAGGTGGTTTGCTCCATATTTTTCCATTTCCCCCAAACATTGAGAATTCCTTCACGGCAGGGATTATATCTTGTATCCTCGGGACCTCGCACAATGACAAGCAAATAACTGAGGCTCAAAGAATTTTTAGTGAATAAAGAAATGAGTGGCATGTAATGGAATGAATGCCCAGGGTGACTTGACTCGGCCACGGGTCCAGGGGTTCATACGAGAGAGAGCAGGCTGGACGGAAGACCTCCGACTCAGGCGGGGTGGGGAGTCTGTGTTCTGAAAGGCACGCAAGAGGTCTCGGTGTGGTGGAGGGTCACTTCCTGTTGATATTATTTATTTATGGAGAGAGAAAAACTTGAGTTTGACTTCTGTTTCCAGCACTTTCTTGCTGTGTGACCTGAGTACATTGTTTACCATCAGTGAGTCTCAGTTTCCTCCATCTGCACAGTAGGGATGATCATCTCCACCTTTTATGGTTGTCATGAGGATGACCTAGGGCAGCATGCCAGAGTGCCTGGCTCAGTGCTTGGTGCATAGTAGGTGTTCAGTAAATAATGTGACAGAATGTGTATAGTGCATAACACCTGCCCAGCCCTGGTCCCTGTGACATTACTCATTTATTCCTCAAAAGAAGCCTCTGAGGAAACAGGCACAGAGGGTTTAAATAACTCTACTAAGGTTTTCACCAGGAAGCCTGGCTCCTACAATGGGCTCATCACTCTCTGCTCTTCCTTATTCCTCCTGTGGTGGCCGCTTTTGTCTCTCAGCCTGCGAGTGTGACCCGGACGGGGCAGTGCCGGGGGCTCCCTGCGACCCAGTGACCGGGCAGTGCGTGTGCAAGGAGCATGTGCAGGGGGAGCGCTGCGACCTGTGCAAGCCGGGCTTTACAGGACTCACCTACACCAACCCGCAGGGCTGCCACCGTGAGTAGGGGGCCCCCGCCTGGCATGGCCTGGGGCAGGCTACATGGAGCCACCAGATCCATGACTTAACCTGCTTGCTGTGCTATGCCTTCCAGCAGGTGGCAGCACAGGCCCAGTTTGGAAGGTGGGACTGAGTCAACCAGTGGGAGACAGGGCGGGCAGCCCAGTGGGCAGCTGCTGGGACTGGTGGGAACCCCGGTGGCCTTCTGAGTCAGCCAGGTTATCTGGGGGGATCGGCCCTGCCTGCTTCTTCTCCAGGCGGGGCCCCTCCTGCTGCATGTTCTCTGGGGGTGAGCTTTTGGTGGGCTGACCCCCGAGCTCAGCAGCCTTCCCTCCTGCAGGCTGTGACTGCAGCATCCTGGGGTCCCGACGGGACATGCCATGTGAAGAGGAGAGTGGGCGCTGCCTGTGCCTGCCCCATGTGGTGGGCCCCAAATGTGACCAGTGCGCTCCCTACCACTGGAAGCTGGCCAGTGGCCGGGGCTGCGAGCCGTGTGCCTGCGACCCAAACAACTCCCTCAGCCCCCAGTGCAACCCGGTATGTGGTGGGGGTGACCCCGTGGGCCCCTGGACAGGAGAGGGGGCCTGCCCACCAGCATATCCATATCCCCTCCCACTGCCCCTCTGGGTCTTTCCAGAGTCAGGCTGGGCTGCTCTGTCACCAGCGCCTTTGAGAGGCCACCCACTCTTAGTGAGCTTTGGCTCACTAAGTTTCCATCCCCAGAGTCCTCACTGACGTCAGTGCCCAGGCTGTCCAGGTGTGTGACTGCCCTAACTCTCACCATTGAGCAGTGAGCTCCCTCTGTGGCTGGGAGCATTGGCATTGCCCATGCGCCACCCCTTCTGCGGGGCCATCCTGGGCTGAGACTGAAGAGCTTGTCTCTGAGTGGAAGCCCTTGTGTGGGGCCACACCAGGGGGTCCTCTGAGGCTGGGGTTCCAGGGAGGCTCCCTCATGGTCTCCCCCCTCCCCACAGTTCACAGGGCAGTGCCCCTGTCGGGAAGGATTTGGTGGCCTGATGTGCAACGCTGCAGCCATCCGCCAGTGTCCCGACCAGACGTACGGCGACGCAGCGGCCGGCGGATGCCGAGGTTCGTGCCCGCGGAGCAGGGGGACGTGGAGGCTGTGGCGGGATGAGCACGTGGGTGGGCCCGTGGTGGGGCACGTGGTCTGGGATCTGGGAGGATGCCATGTGCTTCATGTGGTGTGGGCCCTGGGGGCCCCAGGAGAGCTCAGGCTCCCCACGGCTCCAGCAGCCGGCTTGGCTTCCCAGCCCTGGGCCGGGGACATGGGGTCCTCCCCGCGTCCCCATGACAGGAGGGTGCTTTGCTCCCCACCTCCCCGAGCAAGCATTTCTCAGCGCCATCTCCAGGGCTGCAGCCAGGAGGGGCGATGCTTGGTCCCTCTTCATAGATGGAGACAGTGAGTCCTGAGGGAAAGGACTACTTTGCTCAGAAAGTCCATTTGACAAGTGGTGGGCCACGCTCACTCAGCCCCTCTGCAGGCCTCAGTCTTTTCCTTTGGGGAAGGGGCACTCGGTACCTAACCTTTCGGGGCCTCAGTGGCCTCATCTGTAAAAATGAGAGCAGGAGGGTGGCCAGCTGTCGTGGAGCGGCTGTGAAGGTTAAGTGAGTTCCTGTGTGTGGTGACTTTGAACAGTGCCTGGGACGTAGTAGGCGCTAAGACAGTGCTGGCTTTGGTTGCTGGCGTCACCATGTTTTTATTCTGGTCTCTTATTCTGAGTCAGAAAGACCTCCTCTTCAGAGTCTCCCTACTAGACCCCTCTGTCTCCCTGACCCCGGCCTCCTTCCTCCTCCCCAGCCTGTGACTGTGACTTCCGGGGGACGGAGGGCCCAGGCTGTGACAAGGCCTCGGGCCGCTGCCTCTGCCGCCCTGGCTTGACCGGGCCCCGCTGTGACCAGTGCCAGCGAGGCTACTGTGACCGCTACCCGCTGTGTGTGGCCTGCCATCCCTGCTTCCAGACCTATGACGCCGACCTCCAGGAGCAGGCCCGGCGCCTCCGCGGCCTCCGCAATGCCACCGCCAGCCTGTGGCCCGGGTCCGGCCTGGAGGACCCGCGCCTGGCCTCCCGGATCCTGGATGCAAAGACCAAGATAGAGCAGATCCAGGCGATTCTTGGCAGCGCCCCGGCCACCGAGCGGGAGGTGGCCGAGGTGGCCAATGCCATCTCCTCTCTCAGGTAATCCTCTCCCTGCCAAGCCCTGAGAAGAATTAGGCCACAGGGCCTCACACCAGAGCGCCCCAGTCTTTCATCACGTGGGTAGAGCCCTTTGCCGTTTACAAAGCATTTCCACAGACTCTCTCTTTTAACTGTCACAACGGTCCGTGTGGTTGGTGTGATGAGTGTCATCACGTCCATTTTTCAGGTGAGGAAACAAGCCCAGATAGATGAGATGACAGAGCCCTGTGGCCACGGGGGGACCTCTGAGCCCAGGCCCGAGCCCAAGCCGGGTTCTTTCCAGTGCCGGGCCTGTCTTAGCTCTGGATTAGTCACCCGGCAGGCGGAGGGCATCCGAGAGGCAGGGCATCTAAGAATAACTTGTCTTTTTCTTTGGAATGGGAGCGGTCCCACCCACACCCCTCCTACCAGCAGAGGCGCCTTCTTAGTGAGATTTAGCTCTGGAAGCTTCTATAATTAGTTTCCATTCCCAGAGCCCTCACGGATGTCAGGGCCCAGAGCTGTCCAGGTGTGTGACTGACCTAACTCACAACTGAGCAGCGAGTCCCTCGGCGTTTGGTAGGCACGGACAGGCAGTCCGTGGATGGGCGGCCCAGGCCTGAGCACAGCCTGCAGGTGGAGCACGCGAGGCTTGGAGAGAGGCCTATCTCTGAAAGCTCTATGGTTGGGTCTGGGCAGGTGACCCCCTGAAGGTGCAGAAAGGCAGCGGGCAGCAGCTGTGGGAGCTCAGTGGGCAAGTGTGGCTACCGAGGAGAGCCCCAGTTACACAGGTGGTGGCTGAGGTCAACCTGTAGGGACCCCAGGAGGAGGGTCGGGGTGCCCTTTAAGAGAGCCAGCTGTGGGCAGGTGCAGGGGAGTTGGGAATGTTAGGGTCACAGTGAAGGTGCAGGGGAGTTGGGAATGTCAGGGTCACAGTGAAGGTGCAGGGGAGTCGGGATGTCGGTGGCACGGTAGTCACGGAAGGAGAGGTTTTCTGGACCTGCCTGCAGAGGGAGGGAGGGAGGTTAGGCTGCCCTCTCAGCCTTTGCTCAGCTCAATCCTCAGCCTGTGGCATCTCTGTCCCATTACCTTCGCTGAAGGCCTCTCTGTCCTTCCTGACTTGGTAGCAGTTTCTCGAAAGGGAGGGCTGTTTCTGGGGAGTCAACCCCTCCTGTATGTCAGTGCACACTTCTCTCGCATCTCAGGCGGACCCTGCAGGACCTGCAGCCCGCTCTGCCCCTGGAGGAGGAGACCTTGTCCCTCCCCGGAGACCTGGAGGCTCTGGACAGAAGCTTCAATCACCTCCTCGTTCTGTACCAGAATAAGAGGGAGCAGTTTGAAAAGATCAGCGGTGCCGACCCTTCAGGTGAGGAGGGGGAGCTTAGCCCCGTACACGACCACACCACACCTCGCCTCCTGATCCTCCGTCTCCAGACCTCCGGGTCCAGGGTGACTCAGTTTCCCTCTCCTCTTCCCACAGGAGCCTTCCGGATGCTGACCGAAGCCTACCAGCGGTCATCCCAGGCCACCCAGCAGGTCTCCGACAGCTCCCACCGGCTGCTCCAAGTCAGGGACAGCCGGAGAGAGGCCGAGAAGCTGGAGCAGCAGGTGGGAGGTGGCGGAGGAGCCGGGGGTCCCCAGCTCGCAGCCCTGAAGCTGGAGATGGCTTCCTTGCCTGATCTGACGCCCACCATCAACAAGGTGAGGCATGGCATGGAGCACCACTTCCCGGATGCCCAGTCCCAGCTTGTCACAAACCCCAGCTTGTCACACACCAACTACTTGTATGCATTTCCTGTTAGGGCATTGTGAATCTACCCCATTCCCCCACCCATCCTGACCCCTGGCCCCTCACGGTGTGCTCAACGGTTGCCAAGGAAACAGATTTCTGGTGCCCAGTTGCCATGGAGATGTCTGGCTCTTTGTGTGGGATGGGAGTGGTTGTTGAGGATCCCTGGGTACCTCTGATGGCCCCTCTCTCCACAGCTCTGCGGGGGCTCCAGGCAGACACCTTGCACCCCAGGAGCGTGCCCTGGTGAGCTCTGTCCCCGAGACAACGGCACAGCCTGCGGCTCCCACTGCAGAGGCACCCTCCCCAAGGCTGGTGGGGCCTTCCAGACAGCGGGGCAGGTGGCCGCGCAGCTACAGGGCTTCAACGCCCAGCTCCAGCAGACCAGACAGATGGTAGGTGCGACCAAGGTGAGGTGGGCACCTGAAGGAGGAGGCAGAGAGGACACAGTTCCCTGGAGAGGTCAATTCCCATTTTACAGACCAGAGATGTCCCCTGACTTGCCCCGGGCCCCACAGCAAGTTAGAAGTAGACTTTGGTGCCAATGTTTTGGGCTTTTTTAAAAAAAATCTGACTCCACATCACTTTTCTCTGGGACCAAACTGAGTTAGTTACAAATGTTTCCCAGGCAGATCTTGGGCAGCGGGTGTCCTCAGACCCTGGGGTCTGCGGGGAGGCCCTCCTGGGGTTCTGGTGATCGCTGACCTGTAGCGCGTGTCTGCAGATCAGGGCAGCCGAGGAGGCCGCCTCGCAGGTGCAGTCAGACGCTCAGCGCCTGGAGACCCAGGTGAGCACCAGCCGCTCCCAGATGGAGGAAGACGTCAGGCGCACGCGGCTCCTCATCCAGCAGGTCCGGGACTTCCTCTCAGGTGAGCCTGGCCTTTGCCCACCTCTGGGCTGATGTTTCCACTCCTGCTGTCCTGGCAGGTCAGCCAGCCACCTCCTTCCCTTGCCTCCAGGCCACCTGGGCCAGGCTCTGTCACTCCCCTAGCTGGCTGCTCCCACCTCCCTCCTGCTCCCTCAGGTCCGTCCTCAACAAAAACAGCCAAAAACAACTTTAAAAAAATGTGTGCGTGGGATGCCACCCATGCCTAAAATCCTCCCCGGGCTTCCCCTTGTTCTTGCAGTAAACTCCCAGCTCCTTATCGCGGCCTCTGCTCACCTCCGGGGTAGGCGGCCCTGTGTCTTCCTGCTTTGCTCACTGATGACCTTGAACGGGCCAGGCTCCTGCCTGTCTGGAGACTTTTGCTTGGTCTTTCTCTGCTTGGCGCGCTCTCTCCAAGGCTGCGCATTCTTGCCCTCCAGGTCTCAGCTTAAATATCATCTCCCGTGCGGGGGGAGGGGGAGGGCTTCCATGACTGTCCTACCTGGTCCACCCCTCCTTCCCACTCCCCTTTGGCGTCTGACCTTCATCACGCTGCTCCGAGCTTGTGTTCTAGAATCCATTCTTCGGGGAGTGAATTGTTTGTCTCCCCTAAACTCCAAAAGGCAGGGATGTCTGTCTGTCTTGTTCTCTGTGTCACTGGCACCTAGGATAAGGCCAGACACCCAACGCTGGTTGAATGAATAAATGAACCAGAGCCCCTCTCACGCCCCCTGGGGTGCCTCAGGAATATGAGTTGATGTTAGATTTCTGGTCTCCGCCAGAGAATTTGCTTGGCTGGGAGCCTCGTTAAAAGGAGCTGAGGGCTCGGTGTGACGACAGTGGTTCTTCTTGTTACTATTGAACTGCCTTTGCTCCAAACAGGCAGAAGCCCCTCCTGAGAGTTGATAGCCGGTCAGAGAGGGACAGAAAGGATCCCTTGAGGTCCCCTGGCTTCTCTGGGGTCATGTTGGAGCCACCCTCCCAGGGAGCCCCGGTGGGGAGAGAATTACTGGGGATGCAGGGAGATGGTGCCCGACAGACATGGACAGAGGGGCAGGGCAAAGTTTGGGGCCCAAACTCAGACCAAGTCTGTCCTCAAGGTGCAAGGCTCCCGTGCACAGCAGGGAGTTGCGGGCTGGGGGGCCACTTTTGTCCTCGCAGTTATACTTGTGTCCCAGGTCAAGTCCTATTACAGAGCCAGGGGCAGAGAGAAGGAGGGACCCAGGACAGTTCTCAGTCTCCATGGCAGGGTCTGGTCTCCCGAGTCCTGGTGCTGGCACTCAGGGTCACAGCATGGGGGCGGAGACCTTGGGGAAGCGGGGGTGTTGCCTTTCCTGGCTCTTCAAATGGAACTGACAAAACAATAGTTCAGGTTTACTGAGTTCTTACTAAGTGCCCCGCATTGTCCTAAGTCAGTGGTTCTCAACCTTGGCTGCACATTAGAATCACCTGGGAATCTTTTTAAAATCCTGATTTCTGGGCCTCATCCTCTGGAAATTCTGTTTCTTCTTTTTTTTTTTTTTTTTAAAAATATATACATTATTGGTTTTTTACAGAGAGGGAGAAGGATAGAGAGTTAGCAACATCGATGAGAGAGAAACATCGATCAGCTGCCTCCTGCACAACCCCCACTGAGGATATGTC